TAAGCTATTCGAGGGGCAGAGATTGTATCTTATATGTATTTGTTTTTCCCATTGGGACCAGCCCAGTGATTGGCAAATTGCAGATGTTGAGTCCTTGAGAGGAACAAAATATCTTCTTGCATTTGTGGATGAAAGATTAAAGTGTCCAGGAAAAATTTACTTAGACTGATACGGATTGAAACTATGTTAGATTTTAATAAAAAGATGTGTGTGTGTGAACTTCCTGGGAGTAAGAGTTTAACCCAGAGGACTTCTGTGCATGACTTGGCCGCCTTTCGGGGGCCCCTGCTCCAGTCTCTCCCTAGAAGGGGGTCAGATACAGCACGGCCTAAAGGCTCATCTGTAGGCAGAGGCCCAGAGTGGAGAGATTTCCAGATGCAGGACTATCTGCTCCTCTGGCCCTCAAGGGAAAGCACACACAGTCTATGCTCTGGGCCAATGAGGGGGTCTTGTGGGCAAAGGGGAGTGGAAGTAGTAGGGGCTGGGCAGGGGCTGGTAAGGGAACACGGGCTCCAAGACAAAATAGCAGTGGTTAAGAGATGCATGAGGGCAGAAGGGACCTTACCTGGCATAGCAGCTTAGGTCCCAGTGCCCCTCTGCTGACCTCTCACTCAGCCCAGATCAGTGGCTCTACTTTCCCTTGATCAGAGAAAGAGAATGGCCTGGATCTCAGAGAAGGCCTCACTTCTCCCAAGTTTGGCGGGAGCCGGGCTTCAGCTTCCGTCTGTTCTGAGCTATTCCCTGTAGGCGTCTGGAGGGAACACAGATGGGTCGGGCTGATGGGACTGGCTGAGTTGGGGGAGGGAGGTTCGTTGTGTGTGGCTCCCCTCATGGGGGAGTCTTGCTGTCATTGTCTTCCATACACGAAGTACATGTTTTAAGCTTCTGCCACATGAAAGGCACTGGGCCTTTCTTGCTCCTCATCTTTTTCTCAGGCTACATCTGACCATTAGTGATCCTCTCCTTCTAGAAACTCCCACCTCTGACAGTAGTCACAACAGGCTCAATCCTCGTTCTCCCACTACCTTTTTGGCAGCTGCTTCTCCACCTTCTCCATCTATATATCCCGAGGATCTCCTTGTTCCCTCTTTTTTCTCTGGACCTCTGAGGCTTCTTTTTTTTTTTTTTTTGAGACGGAGTTTCGCTCTTGTTACCCAGGCTGGAGTGCAATGGCGCAATCTCGGCTCACCGCAACCTCCGCCTCCTGGGTTCTGGCAATTCTCCTGCCTCAGCCTCCTGCGTACCTGGGATTACAGGCACGCGCCACCATGCCCAGCTAATTTTTTGTATTTTTAGTAGAGATGGGGTTTCACCATGTTGACCAGGATGGTCTCGATCTCTTGACCTTGTGATCCACCCGCCTCGGCCTCCCAAAGTGCTGGGATTACAAGCGTGAGCCACTCCACCCAGCCCTAGGCTTTGTTTTAAATGATTTTGTTTCATTTTTGAACAGGTGCTATATGACATAGTTAAAAGTTCCAAGGCCAGGTGTATTGCTCATGTTTGTAATCCCAACATTCTGGGAGGCCAAGGCGAGTGGATCACCTGAGGCTGGGAGTTCAAGACTGCCCTGGCCAATGTGGAGAAACCCCATCTCTACTAAAAATACAGAATTGGCCAGGCATGGTGGCACATGCCTGTAATCCCAGCTACTCCGGAGGCTGAGGCAGGAGAATCACTTGAACCTGGGAGGTGGAGATGGGGGTGAGCCAATTGCATTAAACTAAGCATATGCACAGGCCACAACCTTTTCCCCTTGTTCTTCTACTATCTCTATGGTGATTATTCTCATTATCTGTTTCTCTTGCCCCAACTTGTTCTGAATTTCAGATTCAGCTGTCCACAGAGCTGCTGAAACTCTATATAGATGTTCTTCTAGCATCTCAAATTCTGTGTCTCCAAAATGGAGCGCCTTTCTCCCATTACCTCCTCTGCCCCCTACTCCAAGTTCCTCACCATCCTCCAACCACCTACAACTTTTTCCTCTCTTTATACCCATCCACTGAGTTGCCAAGTCCCATTGATTCTGACCCTCAAACCCATGCCTCCTTTTCTTTCACACTGCCATCCCCCTCAGGATGGTCTTTCATTATATTCTATTATGTATTACTGTTACTAGTCCCTAAACTCAGCTCCTCAGGACTTGCCTCTGCAGCTCCAGTCTACACACACCTCTCCTAGCCTCCTCTTACGAAAGGACAATCCTAATCATGTCATTTCCACATTCAGAGACCTGCAGTGACTCGCTGTCTACAGAGCTGGCCACAAACTCTTTTTCCTGGCATTTAAGGTCCTTTATAGTGGGACTCCAAACCTTCTTTTCCATGCTCATCTCTTACCCCTCCTCTTCATGTCCCTGAGGTTTCAACCCAACTGTACAGCCATCTGGTCCCTTCATGGGCCCAGTGTGTTTTCCTGCATTTTAAAATTTGAGTTGCCTCTGTTCATGTTCCTCAGAATTTAGAAGTTGCTTACTCCACTACAGGCATGTAATTTCTCTGGACCTTTCACCATAGCCACTGCACATGGCCCTGCCCATTGTGTCCCTGCCTCTTGTCTGCTGACCCCTCTTTCTCTTCTCCCCATCCTTATTGGAAAGGGAGCCTTAGATGCAAAGCCGGATAAAATCACCATTAAGGGGCCAGGTGCGGTGGCTCAGTCCTGTAATCCCAGCACTTTGGGAGGCCGAGGCAGGCGGATCACAAGGTCAGGAGATGGAGACCATCTCTACCAAAAATACAAAAAAATTAACTGGGCGTGGTGGCGCATGCCTGTAGTCCCAGCCACTCGGGAGGCTGAGGCAGGAGAATTGCTTGAACCCAGGAGGTGGAGATTGCAGTGAGCCAAGATCATGCCACTGCACTACAACCTGGTTGACAGTACGAGACTCTGTCTCAAAAATAAATAAAATAAAATCACCATTAAGTATCAAGCAGAGCCAGGTGCTGTGGCACACGACTGTAACCCCAGCACTTTGGGAGGCCAAGGCGGATGGATCACCTGAAGTCAGCAGTTCAAGACCAGCCTGGTTAACATGGTGAAACCCCATCTCTACTAAAAATACAAAAAATCAGCCTGGAGTGGTGGCGGGTGCCTGTAATCCCAGCTACTTGGGAGGCTTAGGCAGGAGAATCACATGAACCCAGGAGGCAGAAGTTACAGTGAGCCAAGATCGCGCCATTGCACTCCAGCCTGGGCGACGAGAGCAAGACTCCGTCTCGAGAAAAAAAAAATATATCAAGCAGACATGGAATCCCAACTCTGTTGCTTACTGGGTAACCTCAGGCAAGTTACTTACACTCTTATTTCCTCTTCTACTGTTAAATAGGTAGTAATACCTTAGATAGCCTTTTTCTTTTTGAGATGGAGTCTCACTCTGTCACCCAGGCTGGAGTGCAAAGGTGTGATCTTGGTTCACTGCAACCTTCACCTCTTGGATTCAAGCAATTCTCCTGCCTCAGCCTCCTGAGTTGCTGGGACTACAGACACACACCACCATGCCCAGCTAATTTTTTTGTATTTTTAGTAGAGATGGGGTTTCACCATGTTGGCCAGGCTGGTCTCGAACTCCTGACCTCAGGTGATCCACCCGCCTTGGCCTCCCAAAGTGCTGGGATTACAGGCATGAGCCACTGCACCCGGATATATATATATATATATATATATATATATATATATATATATTTTTTTTTTTTTTTTTTTTTTAGACAAGTTCTTGTTCTGTCACCAAGCCTGCAATGCAGTGATTCCAGCTCACTTCAGCCTTGAACTCCTAGGCTTAAGCAATTCTCCCACTTCCCAAGTAGTTAGAACTACAAGTGTGCTGGGTTTTTGTTTTTGTTTTTGTTTTTTTGAGACAAGGTCTTGCTCTGTTGCCCATGCTGCGGTGCAGTGGTGCAGTCACAGCTTACTGCAGCCTTAACCTCCTGGCTCAAGTGATCTTCCCAGCCCAGCCTCCCAGGTAGCTGGGATTACCCGAATGACACCACGCCCGGCTAATTTTTTGTAAAGACAAGGTCTCACCATGTTGCCTGGGCTGGTTTCAAACTCCTGAGCTCAAATGGTCCTGCTGCCTCAGCAGTGCTGGGATTACAGATGTGAGCCATCATGCCTGGCCAATGTTTATATTTTTTGTAGAAACTGGCTCTCACCATGTTTCCCAGACTGGACCTTATATAGTCTTTAAGGAATTAACAGATAAAGTGAATAAAGTCCTAAGGATAGTGCCATTATTCATCTTATTATAACTACCCATGCTGGGCTGGTCCCCTTGGCTCCTCCCCAGCTGCAAGGACTCAGGAGGTATTGCAACCCTCTATCCATCAAGTTCTGGGAGGCTGTGTGGGGTGGAGCAGAGGCTGGCCCTCAGGTGCTCAGGTAGCTCTATTATATGTCTAGGGGTGGTGAGAGGAGCTGCTGTCTCTGCTCCCTTTGTTCAAACTTATGGCTCAGGCAGCAGCAGGCGTGGGCGTCCCCAGGGGAGGCAGTGACAGCTTCAGTACTCACACGGGCTTTGCAGGTGACAGCTGGGGCTGTGGGGCCCTGCCAGAGGAGGTGCAGGCGGACCCCATCACGCCCGAGCTGATGGGCCTCCATGGTGGATAGGGGCCCCACCTTGAACCATCCCAAGTAAAAGCTGAGTACATCTGGGAGCTAAATGTAACTTCTAGCCTGTTCCCTGAAGGATATAGTGGGGTAAGGAGATGAGGCTCAGTCTGGAGACTTGGTCCCACTGTGTCACTCATTTACAAATGACTTCTAGGAGGTCCCTGTTCCTCTCCAGGCCTGTTTTCTCGTTGGCAAACGCACGAAGTGGACCTGATTATCTGTAAGGGCCTCTGGCCCTTTGACACGGACTACCCCAGGCCAAGTCAGTTCCAGAGCCGCTTTAGAGAGTTAGGTTCCTTACTTCTCTGGGCTTGAGTTTTCTTGTGGATAATACAGTTTCCATCAACACCCATCCCTTCCCCGGAGATTCCAAGAACCGTCAAAAGTGAACAGATGCAGTACAAAAATTATTTATTTAAAAGGGAAAGGGTGGCCCCTTGCTGGTGCCTCCTGGGCCCTGGCTAAAAGGGGTTGCCCCTGCTCAGCATCTGAATGCAGAAAGTGTGTCCACCTCTTACCTTTAATAACTTTAAAGGGGAAGTGGGGTGGTGGACTGGTAAGTCAGAGAATCAGTCTCAATAACAGAGCTTCCAGGCCCTTACCTTTAAGAACTCCTTAAAGGCAAAGTGGACAAATGCGGTAGACCAGAGCCAGAACGTTTTCGGGAAGGTCCTTGGAAGAGAGGGGTCTCGGTGTCTTTACCTTTAAGACTCTCTTAAAGGTAAGGCATGTTCACGCAGCGTACAAAGGAGGCAAACTCCGTCAAGGAGTCTACAAAGCACTTTTCAAGATCTCGCTTTTAGTATCTCTTTACAGACGAGGTGGCCAAGCGCGAATTAATAAAAAACAAAATACCTTGCAGAATTATTTTTCTTCCCGACCCAGTAGAACCCGCCCCGCTCACCGGCCGCCCTCAGGTCTGCGTCCTCGCCTTCTAGGCGCCCTGGGGCCCGACGGTTCGGAGAACGCGTCGAGGCAGGCGTAGAGGTGCCGCCCAGCGGACTCGGACCGCCCCCGGAGGTCCCACCGGGGCATCCTGGGAGTTTTTGGTTTCCTAGAAGGCCTCCACCCGGGAAGCCGGACGGGGGCGGGGCGAGGCGAGGGGGCGAGCGGAGGGTGCGGTGACCATGGCGACCGCGGTGGCCATGGCGACCGCGGCTCAGAGCACCGAGAGGTCGTGACACGACCTGGAGCGCTGCTTGAAGAACTTGGAGTTGCGCGGCACCAGGTTGGCGAGGAACCGTTTGGCCTTCTTGGTGAGGCTCTCGCGGCGTGCTGGCGGTGCAGGGCCCTCGGGGCTGCCCGGCTCGGGCCTCTGGCCCCCGGCGCGGTTCCGGCCTCGCCGCAGCCGAATCTGGCGCACCGCGCCCTCGAAGAGCTCCCGCGTGTTGTGGTGAAGTGCGGCCGACGTCTCGATGTGCTTGCAGCTCAGCGTCCCGGCCAGGTGGCGGCCCTCTGCAGGAAGGGACCGGCTCAGGCGCCCGCTGTGCTGTACGGGGTCGGGGGTGGGGTGCCGGGACGAGGGTGGGCCTGGGGAGGGCCTGGGCTTGTGGTTGGAAAGGATATTGGTACTAGCGAATCTTGGAACCGAGAGAACAAAGTGGTGGAGGTGCGAAGGAGAGAGAGAAGTGGGCCTTGGAGAGAGGCGAGGGGAAGTGACAAGAAGGGATTCTCGGGGTCCTGGAGTGGGGCACTGGGAGACTGCCCTTAGTCTGGGACTAATTGCAAGTGGGTTCGTACACCAGCAATGGTAAAAAGGCCTTAGAGAGAAGCAGTGACCTGGAAGGGAGAGCGTTCTCTTGAGATCGCAAGTATGGAATCTGTTCAGTATACACACCCTCCAGTGATACTTCCCGGGAGCGGGCCAAGTCGCTCTTGTTTCCAACGAGGATAACTGGTAGGTCGTGGTGCGGCCTCCCAGCCCGGAGCCTAAGTAGTGTCTCTGGAACTTTGGAGAAGCTCCGTCGGTCCGTGACTGAGAAGACGATGAGAAAGGCGTCCCCGGTCTGAAGGCAGTGGTCCCGCAGCCACCCTCCTGCATCCCCCTGCAGACAGACAGAGAAATGTTAGGGCTGGAGGGATCTCCTGATCCTGGGCTGTGAGGGAGAAGGAAGTCACCTGCTTAGGACAGTAGAGCTAGTTAATAGCAGAATCTCCATACCCAGAGTGTTTGTGGAGGAGGGAGAAATTAGTAATGTGAAGGTCCTAGACTAGGGTAGCCATCCTGATTTCTTAAGCTTAAGCTCTTAATTTAAAAATGAATATTATTCACATGTCTGTAATTTGGCCTCTTATTTCTATCTGCTAACCTTTGTGTCCAAATATTAAGAAGTCTTAGCCGGGCGTGGTGGCTCAAGCCTGTAATCCCAGCACTTTGGGAGGCTGAGGCGGGTGGATCACGAGGTCAGGAGATCGAGACCATCCTGGTCAACAAGGTGAAACCCTGTCTCTACTAAAAATACAAAAAATTAGCTGGGCATGGTGGCTCGTGCCTGTAATCCCAGCTACTCAGGAGGCTGAGGCAGGAGAATTGCCTGAACCCAGGAGGCGGAGGTTGCGGTGAGCCGAGATCGTGCCATTGCACTCCAGCCTGGGTAACAAAAGCGAAACTCCGTCTCAAAAAAAAAAAAAAAAAAAAAAGAAGTCTTCACTTTTTCCCCCCTTCCCTGATATTCCAGATCCCTGAGCTCTTGTCCTGTCACATCGGATTCCTTCAGGCTGAAAAATTTGTGGATAGAGTCAATTTCAGGGTGTTCAGCCTAGCTTGCAGCTGCAGGTTTTGTCAAATTCCCATCCTAAGTTTCCTCTGGGTCAGAAGATTCTGGAAAGACTGTAGCTTTTAATGGCCACGGCCTGTGGTATGAACATTGGTGTGGGCCTTTGCTTTCTGAGGTGATATGAACAAAAGCTCAAGTTCCAGTACATGTTGAAACCAGGACCAGCAGTCCCACCAGCCTTCAGCCAGACTTTGCCCTTCCCCTGTTCTCCCAGCTTCATCACCTGCCTGCAACCACATCTTAGTTCTCACCTGTTCCCAGATGTCATAAACGACTAGAGTCACTTCTTCCTTATCCACCACGATGCGTCTCTCATAGGTATCCTCTGTTGGAAAACAGGGAGAGGGAATAAAGTCTATTAGGAGGTTCCCCAACATTTGTGAGACCTGGTAACCAGGGACACCTCAGATCTCAGCACCAGAGAAACCGTCTTGCCCCCCCCCCCCGCCCCCACTTTAGGGAGGCTGCCATAAAAAGCATTGGAGAAGCTTCTGTTAAGCTCTGTCCTCCAGGGCTGCTCAGGTCATCAGTACTTCCTTCCCTGACCAGGACCCCAGAGCCCCCTCAGTCCCTTCAGGGCTTTCCCAAATACCTGAGTTCTCCGGTTCATGAGCGCTGTCTCCCTGGAGACCACCAAAAGTGCCTGCTAGAGTGCTCTTGCCCACGCCACTCTCCCCCACTAGCATGACCTTGAAGATGCCATCCGTTTGAGCAGGGGGTGCCTCTCCTGAGGCCAATGAGTCAGAGGAGCCAGAGGATGAGGCCTGAGGTGGCCAGTCAAGTTCATCTACTGCCTGGGCCCGCCGGAGCTGGTGCTTGTAAGGGACAGGCATACTGCCTCTTCGTCTGGGGGCCCCAGGGGCAGAGGGTAACCCGCCCCGGTCCAACTCTGCCAACAGTTTCTCTGGATTCTTCAGCAATGTGGCATCTGCTTCTGGGGTGGGGTGGGAGGGCAAAGAAAAGGAAGCTATGAGTGGGATATGCCCAGCCATCTGCAGAAGGCTCAGTCCAGGCTGTTCCAGCATCAGAGGCCCAGCCACACCCACTTGATGACCATTACCCAGAAGTAACTGAGAATCTCTGGCCTGACCTCTTATACTAAATTCTCCAGAAGCCTGAACTGGAGCCAACATGATAGCTTCTCCAATGCGCTCCCAACCCCAACCTAGTCAAAATGTGCCCCATGCAGGGAAGGGACCTAAATGCAGGCTTGCACACCCACTCACACGTTACACTGACACACAGGCCTCTGGCCCTGTGGGGTGCAGCAGGGATTAGGGGAAGCTGCCTCTCTTTCCACCAAGAAGCCCTTCCTCCTCCTGTTTCCAGCCCTGGTAATCCCCAAACCGAGGAGAAGCAGAGAGGATGAGAAGCTGAAGCTGCCGCCCAGTGTCTGGGGAGTAGGTAGAGCAGAGTAAAAAACTTTGTAGCGAGCCTCTTCCTAGGAAAGGGCCTTTGCTTTTTGAGATGATGTGCATGTTGGGTCCCTGTGGGCTCTGTGTGTGTGAGAGAGAGAGACGGGGGCTGCAGCTTCCCATGGCCCTATAGGTGAGCATCCCTCAGTGCGTGGTTGGGTGTGAGAATCCTGCATTCCTGTCTGTCCCTGTGAGTGGGAGAGAATATTGTGTTCATAGAGAGGTAGACGTAGAGAGTGCGTGTGTGTGTGAGTGAAAGGGAGAGTGACAATGTGCGGGTCAGGGTAACTGGAGAAGGAATAACAGACACAACAAAGAGGGTTGGAGGGAGGCTGGAAATAGCCCAGGATCAATACTTGGCCAGCAGCCAGGGCCTCCAGGAGCCAGAAGAACCCTTACAACAGGTCCCCGGAGTAGCCCCCTGCCTGTGATCCCCAGGCTTGGGGGCTGCCTCTTTCTTCTCCCCTTCCTTCTTGCCCATCCCAGGCTCGGGAATGAGGCTGAGCTAGGGGCCATGTACCAGTTTCTCAAGCAGAGCCCTGGGAGTGATGGGGGAGGGGGCATTTAGGCAGCTCTTCCCCTCCACCCTAGCCTAATCTCTTTTCTTGTGTGAGCAGGGGTCTTCTCCACTTTCTCAATTGCTCTTCTCCTCTTGCAGACTGGGCTCAAGCTCCCTCAACCCCTAGTTCTGACCTCCCCACCAAAGCTTCAGCTCCCACCCCCATGGTTTCAGCCAGAACCTGCCCAGGTTATCCCTCACCTGGCGTGGGCGTCCCTGGAGGGGAGGCCCGGTGGCTGCCAGAGGGGCAGAGTGCTGTGGTTTCTGTGTCCATGTCCATGTCGGTGTCCAGGTCCGTGTGCATCGGTGTGCGTGTGCGTGTGCAGCCCAGCGGCTCGCAGCACCCGCTCCCTCACTCAGCAGCACTGTCAGCTTTTCCCTTTAAATACCACCCCCCAACACACATGCCCTCCCCCCAAGACACCTGGGGAAATTGTCCCACCCCCCGATGAGGTCACACATGCTAATGAGCAGTGATGTCAGCGGGATTCCCTCCTTTCCGCGCCCCCTCCCTTTCTTTTGTGTCGCTTCCCTCTGGAAGCATACACACTGCAGAGCCTGGTTGAGGCATGACAGAACAGTCAGGGGGCAGAACAGACAAGGGTTACTGGGGGTGTCATGGGTAAGGGAGCTGAGGGTGGGAGAAGGCAGGGACCTCGGGAGGTGAAGCTCTTTCTCCAGCAGCCAGGACTATGCATCATTTGTCTCTTGTATTTCCAGCCCACTAGCCCAGTGTCCAGCTTAAAGAGCGTGCTCAGTGGCTGCACAAGAAGAGGCAGAAAGACTAAAAGCTGGTTTGAAAAACGAGATATAGGTCAAAAGAAGTGTGGGCACTGAGGCACAGCCAGCCTGCTACCTTCTCCTTCTCCATCCTGCCTCTTCTGGGCCAAGAGCCACGAAAGTACCCATTTCCCAGCCTCTAGGCAGATGCTCTAAGGAAGGAAATACAGCTGCTTCATTTGGGCAGCTTTATTTTACCACTAAGTTTGGGTAAGAGCAAACCATTGTGGAGGCTCCTCCACCTTCTCTCCCTGCCAGGCCCACCAAGCCAACAATAATCAGAGCAGGAAAAAGGGGCCAGACAAAGCTAGCTATCTCAAACACGAAGTTCCCAGTCTTAAGTGGGCAGAGGGAGAGCGCCGGTTACCTCCCAACTGCCCTACCCCACTGTTCATGTTTTTTGGTGAAGCTGCCAGGCTTTCTGGGCTATGCAAGGCAGATACACAATGGATGATGTCTGGCTGTTTGAGGAAGCCCAGATAGCACATATCTTACTGTTCCTTTTCTGCCCTGTTCCCTTTCCTTTCAGGTTTCTTCTCCTGCCCCTTTCCTGCTTGTCCTCCTTCCTGACACCCTTAAGCTCCCAAAAACACATTCTGATTTCCTTTCCGTGCCCTGTTTTTGCCAGATGCTGTGCTAAGCACTTTCCTACATCATCTCCTTTCATTTTCTTGACCCCAAGGCTCACATGGTAGGTAGGTGGCCTGTCCCTAAAGCAATCCTGCAGCTGGAAAATGGGAACACCAGGAATCCCACCCACATCTTTCCAGTGCCAAAGATTTTTTATTTCTACACTATGCTGCTTTCCTTCTCTTAAATATTCCAACTGTCTCCTATTATTGGGAACAGTCTATACCGCAGTCCTCAGCAGACTTTTCCAATGGAAGAGGCAAATAATCATCTTGGGAACAATATGCAGTGACAGTTCACTTATCTGGAGGTCAACTACAGGGCAACAGTACAGGGTTTGAGGGAGCAGAAAGGACCCCTTAGCAGCTAAAATATTCATACACTTTACTCACTGGGTAGATTCTCCAGTCCTAAATCATGGCCTACTTATCCTTACTTCTATGCACAATTTTAATGTGTCCATGTGTGCTCCTGTACTAGTAGATTAGAAACACATTTAGAGTAGCAAGTGACCCCTGTAGCCAGGGAGGTAACACCACACATAAAAAAACATTTAATGCACTCATATGCATTTTATAAGTGGTCTGAGGTCATTTAGCATAAAAGCAAATAGCTCCCCATACTCCTACAGTTACAGTGTCAGGAGATACTGCTGGAGAAAAGCCACTGGTTTCTATGAATGATCCTCAGCTATTCAGAAAAATTTTATTATATTGCAGATATGCTGAAGACAAGTATAACATTTTAGAATTACTTCCTTCCAAAATGAATATTTTTATTTTTTTCAGACAGAGGGTCTCTCCCTATTGCCCATGCCCAGGCTAGACTGTAGTGGTGCGATCATAGCTCACTGTAACCTCAACCTCCTGGGCTGAGCATTTGCCCGTGTCCAGGCTCCCTCAGGAATGGGAGGTCCTGTGGAACAGTGGAACAAGGGTGAGATTTGGAATGGAGTCATGCCAGGTCTAAATCCACCACTTGGTAGAGACTGGGACAATCTTTGGATTTCCTTGAAGCTCCTCCTGAACCTGCGAAATGGGGTTTATGATGCCCACGGCCCAGCTCTGTTGTGAGAGGGTTCACTTCAGGTGAAGAATCTGGCATCATCGGGCACTCACTCTTTTTTTAAAAAAACAAAAAACAAAAAACATCAATAGCAGATTTTGCCTAGACAGGCACTCACTCTTTAACCACCTTGGTGCTTCCGCAGCCTTAGGCTGTGTGGTTGGGGGTCCTTCTTCCCTCCCAGTGAGGCCTGGAGCTTCGTTCAGGCCCATGATTTCCTTTCCTTTTTAAAAAAAAAAAAAAAAAAAAAAATCTATTTATTTATTTTGAGACCAGGTTATGAGACTAGCTAGTTTTTGTATTTTTGGTAGAGACAGGGTTTCGTCATGTTTCCCAGGCTGGTCTTGAACTCGTGGCCTCAAGCAATCTGCCTGCCTTGGGCCCGCCCAAAGTGCTGAAGTTACAGGCATGAGCTACTGTGTTCAGCAGAATTTTGTTTCTTAAGGACTGAGTTCTGGTATTTTTTTTTTTTTTTTGAAAGGGAGTCTCCGTCTATTGCCTAGGCTGGAATGCAGTGGCGCAATCTCAGCTCACTGCAACCTCTGCCTTCTGGGTTTCAGCAATTCTCCTGCCTTAGCCTCCCAAGTAGCTGGGTCTACAGGTGCGTACTACCACACCCAGCTAATTTTTTGTATTTTAGTAGAGATGGGGTTTCACAGTGTTGCCCGGGCTGGTCTTGAACTCATGAGCTCAGGCAATCAGGCCTCGGCCTCCCAAAGTGCTAGGATTACAGGCGTGTGTGAGCCACAGCTCCCAGCTCTGGTATCTTCTTTTATCTTAGATTCTAGACTCTGATTCACAGCCTGATTCCTATCTCATGCTGAAAACGCCTCCTGCCTTCCCACCAAGAACCTTGATGTGGGTCCCACACTCGTAAGACCAAGCACCTTGGATATTGGTATCTATCTTGACAGAATTTTAAGTTGCCTCATTACTTTTTTTCTTGGGCCCTGGTGGAAATAAACCTGAGTGACTGCTCCCCAGTGCCATCGCTTGGGCAGGACCCTCTGTCTTAGTTTCACCATGCTGCCTGTATAAGGTCAGTACCCTATCCCAGCTACCTTGGGGCTTCACTATGGCTGACAAGAGTATTGTTACTGCCTACACCCTGTACAGCATACACCTAGAAACTAAAGAAACTTCTTTCAGGCCCACTGATCTATAAGCACAGGCCTCCCTAGTGAACTCTGCCCGAAGTCCTCCTTCCAGCATTCAGAAGCATTCCACCACAAGGAGCAGTTTTACCTGAAGTCTTTGTCCACTTTCAGTTTGCAATACCACTAGGAGAGAAAAGGTCTGGATAAAGGGATGAAGATTATCAGGCTGCAGGTAATTGAGGTGGCTATGGGGAAGAGAAGAGCAAAGGAGAGGGCAAAGACCAGGCTATGGAGAGGCAGGGGCGGGAAAATCACTGCTTTATTATTTACACTGGGCCTGACGTTGAGTGGACCCAGGACTGTTTGTACTAAGGAAGGAGGGCCCAAAGGGAGAACGGTAAGCAAAAACCAGGTTCTCTGGAGCCCACTCCCCAGTCTCCGGAGAGGGTCTGCAGTGAAAGGAGCTCGGGTCTTCCCTGAGCCAAGGTGCCATGGTCCCAGAACTGCACATGGACCCATACCCTTCTCTGCTACTTCAGCAGGCTCTTGCTCACTAAGAGAGGAAAATTGTGCAGTTAGTGCTGGTTTTGAGGATGCTGACAGGCTGTAATCAACAAGGCCTCTCTACCAGGTGTGGGGCTAGGTTTGGGTAACAGGCTCCACTAGGTATGGGGCTAGACAAGGAGAGCCTGCGGGCAACCTCTATCCCCAGGGACTGACTCCATTAGGGAATTCCTCAGCTTTGCTCCTGAGGCATCAATCCCACCCCCACAACCTCCTGTGTCTTTTGCCTCGATTTTCCTTCCAAACTCAGGCAGCTTCTGTCACTTTGCTAACTAGGGGCTGGGTTCCAACACGGCTTGCAAATCATTCCCTCCATTACTCGCCCCCCGCCGCCCCCAGCTCTGCAGCTCTGGCCGCTGCTTGTGCTGTCAGGCCCAGGGTGTCGCCTACAGCCCCTGCCCTCTAGTCTCTTCAGTTTGCTTGTCCTGTGGACAGTCCCCCTGCTTGGAATTCACAGCTCTATTCCAACAGCATTCTTTAGAATCCGGTTTGGGCCCTCTTCCAGGCAGACCTCTTGGATTTGGCCATGGGAATGCCAGCACCTCATACCCTGAATGTTTGTGAATTTTCCCTCCACTCATCTTTGCCTGCTTTGAGGTATCCTGGCTGAGAGTTCATCTATCTTGCATAGGACAGACTGCTAAGTGCCTGGTGGGCGTGGAGGGTGGAGGGTAGGAGTCATGACTCCAGTGTCCCACCAGGGACAGTTGTTCCTATGATCCATGCTTGGGGAATGCTCCATAAACGACAACCTTCCTGACTGCAGGGCCCAGCTGGCTCCCCTGACTTCTATCCTGGCTGTTAGGAAAGAGGCTTGGCGCACACCCCTGCAGTCAGTCACCGCAGAGCTGGGCCCCAGGCATTTGAGTGGAAATGGAGAGGGCTGGTTCTTATGGTTCCTAGAATTTTCTTACCTTCTGTGTGGTTTAAAAATCAAGAGTGCAAGGCCGGGCGCGGTGGCTCAAGCCTGTAATCCCAGCACTTTGGGAGGCCGAGGCAGGTGGATCACAAGGTCAGGAGATCGAGACCATCCTGGTCAACATGGTGAAACCCCGTCTCTACTAAAAATATAAAACATTAGCTGGGCATGGTGGCACGTGCCTGTAGTCCCAGCTACTCAGGAGGCTGAGGCAGGAGAATTGCCTGAACCCAGGAGGCGGAGGTTGCGCTGAGCCGAGATCGCGCCATTGCACTCCAGCCTGGGTAACAAAAGTGAAACTCCGTCTCAAAAAAAAAAAAAAAAAAAAAAAAATCAAGAGTGCAGTGGTGGTTGGGAGATAAACAGGAAGAGGGGAGGAGGTAGAGGGCCGAGCAACGGCTTCCACAGGGAGAAGCGGGATGAGGTGAGCATAGACCGAGATGGGCAGAGGCAGGGCTCAGGCTCACGGCTAATTTGCAAAATTTTGAGATGTATGATTCCTTTATTTTTGACCTCAACTGACTGAGCAATGACATAGCTATGGAACAGAAGCATTTGTTGCACTCTTTTTGTGAGCCAGACCCTGTAGGAGGGATTGTGGATGGCAAAACCTCAGATTCTGCCCAAATCCTCCCCTTGGGGGCTGAAGGGTCTCCAGTTAATTGGCATTCCGGTGCTTAAGGCCACTTTTGGGTGGAGGTTTGGCAAGGATGGAGTGTCCAGGCCTATGATCCTCTAAGAACTTTACTTTTTAAAAACAGCCACCCAAATGGTGGTGGCGTGGGAAGCGGGTGGTGGTGAAGGGACTGGGGTCTCTGGCTGTGTACAGAGGAGGCTCTGTGAGCCCTCTCCCTGCCTGAAGGACACCTAACTTTACAGCAGCTACACAGGGTCAACAGGAGGCCTACCAAGTCCCCTCAGATCCAGGAACAGGGAAGGAAGTGGTGGAGGGGAAGCTGACCCACCCTCTAAAGGGTTGTGCCACCATGAGTAGTGCCCCAGGGGAAAGGCCCCAGTAGAGTCCCTAGGTCCCCTCAGGTAAGCAGTGGCTCATCCTCTGCCTCAACTACCCAGACCCCCGGTTCAGCCAGTGGCACCAGTAGCACATCATCCTCATCTTCTGGGGCCAGGACTGCTGTGTGGGGACCAGGAGGGCTTCGGGTTGGTCCTGGGGGCCCCAGGCTGGGCAGGAGGCGGCCTCGCAGGGCCTGCACCACTCCAGACAATAGTGATGGCTCTAGGGGCAATGAGGGCAGTGGCCCTGGGGCTTCGGGGAGAGTAGCAGGGGCTGGAGATGTGCTGGCAGATGGGAGGGGAGCCTTGATGGGCAGTGGGGGTGCCTGCTCCCCATCTTGCCCACCCACCGCCCCACCCTCACGGGCTGGACCTGTGCTGCCATCTAGAGCCTCAAGGGGAGCAGTGGAAGGTGTGACCTGGGATCTGGCCTCAGAGGCCCGAGCTGGGGTACTGGTTCGAGGAAGAAAGCCCCAGCGGCGGAGACGGCGTACCAGGCGGCGCATCAAGCGGCCCCGCTGGCGACGGCGGGCACCTGAGGCGCCTCCTGGAGTCATATCCTGGCGTAAGATCTGCAGCAGAGAACGCAGGTTGCCCAGCACTGAGTTCTGCAAGGAGATGAGGAGGCCTCAGAGTCAGAGGGCCAAAGGCTGAATAAAAGAGGGTACAGGGGCGGGGCCACAGCAGAAGTGGGACGAGGAGGTGCTAGGGTTGTGGGAGTGACTTACATCATTAGGATTCTCTGTAGGAAAGTCTTCTACAGGTGGGATGGCACCCTGGGCAATGAGCTGCCCATAGGAAGGGGGTGCCTGTTGCTGTACAATCTCAGCCTCCATCCGGGAGAGGGGGGCAAAGATGCTAGAAGGAATGAGGACTGCTTAGTCACTGGTAGTTCTCAGCCAGAGTAGACCACCCCAGCCTGGACAGTCCTCCCCCTTCCACACCTGGGCCAGGCTGGCTGGAGCTGTGCCATGGCTTTCCCAAAGGTCATCTGAGGTCCCTCCTCCCTTGAGACTGCTTTCAGGATCTGGACCTGTCCCTTACAGGAGACAACTGACAAGCTGATCATGGGAACCTCTCCCCAAGGTGGCTTTCATGGTCTCCCGTAGCTGCATGGCCCAGTCTTGCCCTCAGGCTGTACTCTGTTGCCAGCCCCACTCCCACTGACCTGTACTCCTGGGTGCGAATGGCATAGAGCTTGCAGGTGCAGCCCAGGGCGATGACCAGGAGCAGGCCACACACTAGACTGCCAATGACTGCAGCTGTGATGACCTTGCGGGGCAGAGCATAGGAGCAGTCCCATTCATCACTGCCGTCCGCACAGTCTGGCTGCCCGTCGCACACCCACGTCTCATACACGCACTTCTCGTCCCGGCATCGGAAATTGCCAGGCTGGCAGTGCCGACAGCGTCTCTCGTCTGCTCCGTCAGCACAGAAAGTCTGGTAGTTGCAGCGGTCAGCAGGCAGGTAGCAGGCTGTGGCACCAGAGGTACCCGCAGCCCCACAGGGGAAGTGTCCGGGTGGGCAGCCTGGGCAGTCCTCCTCATCTGTGCCATCAGCACAGTCCCATGAGCCATCACAGCGCTGTGCCTCACTGTAGCAGCGCTCACCTAGGCCTTCGCCAGCCCCCAGGCCAGAGCCTAAGCCGCAGGGTCTGTCCCAAGGCAAGCAGTAGCCCCGCACATGGTAGGTGGCATTGAAGCCACGACCACTGCTCCAAGCGACTGTGCGGTAGGATACAACAGCCTGGCCAGACAGTGTCTCCACAGTGACAGCCTTGCCATTGCTGAAGTGGGTGAGACTACGCAGTAGTCGGGAGCTCTCAGGGGGCCCAGGACCATCATACACATGCACTGCATCTCCAAAGCCCAAGTCCAGGGCTGTGAAACGCACGGCCAGCCGCCGGCCATCATGGGGGTCCAGCAGCCAATGGCAGGACTGGGGGTGGGAGACAGAGGCAAGGTGTGTATATCCAGGGGAGGAGAAGACCCCATAGAAGTCCTCCAAGGTGAGATTGCAAGGCAGGGAGGGGATGGGCCCTGAGGTCAGGCCAGGAAAGGGGTCTGAGGTGCAACCTGCTTCATCAGAGCCATCGCCACAGGCATCAATCCCATCACAGCGCTGGACAGCAGACACACAGCGGTGGTTCAGGCACTGGAACTCTTCCTGTAGACACATCAGCCAATCTGCAGAGACACCATGGAGAGGGGCTGTGAAGCACCAGAGCCCTCAGGATCCTCCCCTCCTGCCTGGGGCTTTCATTGCTCCTCAGACATCCCTGTCCAGCCTACCTTGGCTGTAGAGGAGCAGGAAGCCCTGGCCCATGGGTGCTCTGGCCCCAGCATAGCTGTACGTGATGGTAACATTGCCCCCAGGTAGCTGCAGAGGGCTGGGAGGTGCCTCACACAGGGAGATCAGTGGCTGGAGGGGGGAGCGTAGGGTCAAGCGCTCTGAGCCACAGGCCAGGTGTAGCTTCTGGAACCTATGGGAGTAGAGGAGACCAGGACGTGAGATGCTCCTGACTGCTGCTGGCTTTCTCCTCCCCTGGTGCCACCAGGCCCCTTGTATTCCAGGAAGCACAACATCTGCTTAGCCATGATCCAAATGGCCAAATGAAAACTCAGTCTATTTATTTATTTAGAGATGGAGTCTTGCTCTGTCACCCAGGCTGGAGTGCAGTAGAGCAATCTCGGCTCACTGCAACCTCTGCCTCCCAGGTTCAAGCGATTCTGCTGCCTCAGCCTGCTGAGTAGCTGGGACTACAGCTGTGCACCACCATGCCCAAATAATTTTTGTATTTTTAGTAGAGATGGGGTTTCACCACGTTGGCCAGGATGGTCTTGATCTCTTGACCTCGTGGTCCACCCACCTCGGCCTCCCGAAGTGCTGGAATTACAGGCGTGAACCACTGTGCCTGCCTTATTTATTTATTTGAGATGGAGTTTCACTCTTGTCACCTGGGCTTGAGTGCAATGGCGTAATCTTGGCTCTGCAACCTCCACCTCTTGGGTTCAAACAAGTCTCCTGCCTCAGCCTTACAAGTAGCTGGGATGATAGGTGCCCGCCATCACACCCAGCTAATTTTGTATTTTTAGTAGAGACAGGGTTTCACCATGTTGGTCAGGCTGGTCTTGAACTCCTAATCCATCCACCTCAGCCTTCCAAAGTGCTGGGATTACAGGTGTGAGCCATCGCTCCTGGCAACCAAATTATTATTATTATTATTATTTTTTTGAGACGGAGTTTTGCTCTTGTTACCCAGGCTGGAGTGCAATGCGCGATCTCGGCTCACCGCAACCTCCGCCTCCTGGGTTCAGGGAATTCTCCTGCCTCAGCCTCCTGAGTAACTGGGCTTACAGGCACGCACCACCATGCCCAGCTAATTTTTTGTATTTTTAGTAGAGACGGGGTTTCACCATGTTGACCAGGATGGTCTCGATCTCTTGACCTCGTGATCCACCCGCCTTGGCCTCCCAAAGTGCTGAGATTACAGGCTTGAGCTACCATGCCCGGCCCCAAATTATTTTTAAGTAAATGTAGTCAATGGGGATCTTCCTAACAGGGGCCAGTATCACCATAATACCATAAGATACATCCTAGAACCCTTTGGAAAAACTGACTTAAGAGGAAGTACACTGCATTCCAGTTCTTGCAGCACTGTCACTCAAGTATGGTATCAGCAGTAACTGGTGATTGCCATCTAGTTCAGTTAACCAGAACTCACCATCTTGCCCCACCCCACTGTGCCAGATGTGAGACCTGGCTTGGTTCTCCATGGTATTTTGATCCCTTTGCCCTGACAGCCTCTCCACAGGTTTCCCCCTCTCTTTGCCTACTCCTTTCTGGGTAAATTCATGGAAAGTGAACTATGTGAGGCAAATAGCCAGGTACTTAACATGGTCCCCAGATAATGATCCAAGGTCAGGGGAGCCCGGGGAGAGTTAGAATGTTTAAAAGACCTGGAAAAGCTAAGGAATGTTCTCAGCTGATTAAGGAGTAGTTCTGAATCTCAGGCAGGACACGAAATGAATGGGAGGACTCCTCAGAACAGTTCTATCT